TATGCTTTTATTTTTTTCTGTCAGGCTGTCGGAGCGCTCCTCCTCCTCTGTCACAGATAATCTGTACTGCTGGTGTGGGGTGAAAATCCTCCACCTCAGACGTTCAGAGATGAAACTGTCTGCGATACTGTGGTCACTTTCCATGTAGCATCGATTATGCTAATGCTAGCTGCCTGTCACGTTCTCTCGTCCTGGTCACACCTCCGCTCCCTAAACCCCTCCCCTACCCACTTTGATGCATTTTTCAAATTTCACCTTGGGGCGGAGTTGTCTTTTCACAGGGGGGTAAGATACACTTTAAATGTTCGCTATGTCAGAACTTATTCGGCAAATGTGTTTCCATCTCTGCTTTTGTGCATTAACTCTATTACAGGTTGGGGGAAATTGGAATTGGTGGAGGTTTGCACTCTCCGAGTGCTTCTAGTTGTCTCATGAGGCTGTGTTGTTTTCCTCACCTCCAATTCTGGCATTAAAGGCAATGCCCACACCACAGTAGGAGTTGTTGGCCTCCATAGCAACTTCCCCTGCACAACGTGTACCGTGACTGCAACAGAGGGGGGAATAAGATGTTAGCCTCATACTGAGAATAAACAGGCAGGGATTAGAGTTTTCTTTATCTGATGTTCTGACCTAACCACATATGGCAATTATGCCAGGACAAGTAATTACGTACAGCACATCCTGACTGGTACACACTAAGATACTGAGAAGTGAGACTCAGTAATAAGAAAGCTCTATGCCCGTTTCAGGCTCACTCAGTCAGTAAAATGTTGTTTCCTTGCTTGATACCAGACCGATTTTAAAGAAATTAAACTTTAAATTTGGTGCGATAATATGGCAACATGGAGAATTCATATCTTCTCTTTTAAAATCTTTAATAACCTGCTGAGTGTTTTTTTTTTTATTATTTACTGTATAATTTTTAAAAAGTATGTGTGGCTATTTTTTATAGACAAAATTCAAATCTTGATTTGTGCTGTTGATTCTGCCACTCTGGCTTCAGACAAACACACCCAGCTAGGTTGTGGGTTTGAAGTGGCCATAATAACTTTAGTAAACTGACAGAAACTCCAGAGAAAGCAGCGCTGGGGCAGCAGTCAGTACCTGTTCTCCTCGTCTCTGACAGGCATGGGATCATGAGACAGACCGTGGGAGGCACGCAGGTCAAAACTGGCGAGAGCCTCCTGCGGAAGCCAGACAGAAAACAAATGAAGCAGAGTGTAAGACAACGCATCTCCTGACACAAAACACCAGTGTGACATGACAGGAAATGAAGGAATCCCTTCAAAAACTCTTGATACAAGCACTTGAATTAGTCTGTCAACATATTTCCTCTGACTGACGGCAATCACTGTCACTGAGGAGATGCTTCTGTATGTGCGTGTGTGTGTGTCTGCGTCTCATAAAAGTGAGCAGAACTGAATGACTTGCCAGTGTATATAGGCATAACGTGAGGAGGAGGAGGATGACTTGGCAGCACACTGTACAAAAACAATTATGTATCTCTCTCGCTGCAGCCAGGCTTATCCATGCCAGACAATCTGCTCCGACAAAATACAAGTTGGCCTTCGTACCTCCAAMTGCCTATAGGATTATAAAAGACGAGGCAGGAGCAAACGAAAACTGCCAGGACACATATGCTTAATGGTTATCCAGAGTAACACCAGCCTAAMAGCTTTAAATTTCTAGGAAACTTTTATTTTTCCTGGGTTTTGCAAAACAGAGAAGAAAGACGATTGGGGGAAAGTTGTGCTATCAAACAAAAGAGGCAGCTAATAGAAGCTTTGTTTTTTTTATATTAATAATCTCTTACAAACACAACAAACTTAAACTTTACTCACAAAGTTTTTCTTCAGGTCCATGTTTGAATAATTGATACCTTGAAAAAGAAGAAAACACAAGGAAAGCATGGATTAGTTCAAACTGACAGAGGAGGCTGGAAATAACCACTGCCTGCTTATAAAGAGCAAAGAGATGTCTGTGTGTGTTTTTGTTATGTGGTGGGGACAATTTTTTAAATTCAAATTTTTCTTAAATTTAAAACAAATTTCTTTTTCATTTAAAAACAAAACAAATGCCATACATACAACAAACAACAATACAACACAAATAAAATGAAAGGTAGCAGAAAGAAGAAAAACATTCTTATTGATATCTGCCCCCTTTTTTTAAAATAAATAAATTGAAACAAAAATAGTTTTCAAACAACAAAACATAACAAAAACTCCAAATCTTTCTCGAATTTTTGACCACTTTCCCAGTACATACAACCGTGCGAGGACCCACTGTTCCTTATGAGGACAGAAGCCTGGTTTGAACATAAATAAATTGAAACAAAAATAGTTTTCAAACAACAAAACATAACAAAAACTCCAAATCTTTCTCAAATTTTTGACCACTTTCCCAGTACATACAACCGTGCGAGGACCCACTGTTCCTTATGAGGACAGAAGCCTGGTTTGAACTGAGTTAAGGTTAGGTTTAGGGTTAGGGGTCAGGCTGTAGAAATGACCAGTAAATAGATGGAAGTCAATGCAAAGTCCCCATGAGGTTAGAAGAGCAAACGTGTGTTTGTGTGTGTCCGTTACCAAAATATCTCATGACCCAGTGGCAACACCTGCAGAAAGTCATTTTAAATTATGGAATCAACCTGATTCAAGATGGCTGCCTCAGAGGAGCTAACCTCAGTCAGTTTGAMAGATATTGACCTAAWATTTAGTTTGGTAGTAGCTGAGGGTCATCCCAACACATATTGTATTTTTAGTGTTAATGAATTGAACAAGACCATTTTAAAAACAAATAACCATTTATATTTTGATGCCAACTCTGTCAGTCTGTTAGCAAAATATGCCATTAATGACGAAATGAAACTTTCAGGCTATAAGTACTGAAGGTACGTCTACAACTGATTATATTTTATAGCCAGCCCAATTAAAGACAGAGCTCACAGCCAGCTGACCATAAAACACACAMAAAAAGTTTTCTGTTGAAAATAAACAATTTGTTCCACTTCAAAGATCAAATGAAGGAGCAGTTTCTACATAATCACTATGAACACTTCGGTACAGATCTGTTGTTTGCTTGTTCTGGAACCCAAACTCACTTTTGGCCTTTGTCCAACAGGTGAGGGGGTGTATGTACTGTATGTAAAACTGTTCATGGAAGATTCAAAGAATGTTAGGACAACTTATTTATTCCAGGCATGAAATTGATTCCGTTTGTCTCTGAGAAGAATCCAGAGACATTTGATGCTCAGGACAATATTTATGAATTCAAGCCTAATTTTTTCATGTTTTGTGCGTTCTGTGATGCCTAAGTGCACTTGTCATGTTATTCTGTTCTGTGGAGCAGAGCAGTTTCAAGCCATTTGAGCTTGCTATGTGGCAGACAGGTTATTAAATTTTCAGAATTTTGAGTACCCTACTAATTGGTGCAATTAATTTGCCAAAGCGTAGTGCTTTTTTTATTTTTATTTTTTTCAATTTAGGTTTTGTCAAGAATCGTTGCTTTGCTCTGAGGAACTATGCACGACTGTTAGATGAGTGACTGAACAAAAGGCTTCAAACGCTCCAAATCCAGCTGCATTCATGCCATTATTTTCAAATTCTCATTCTTTCTCAACGTACACCTTTCCTGCATCTTATCATCCTCGCTTTCTTTCAACATCAGTTGCCTTTCTCTGGCTGTACCCCCACCCACCCCCCGCCCCCATCCTCACTCCATCCACCACCACCTCCATCTCCGCTGCAGCGGGGCTCCTGTGGTCTCAGCGAGAGACAAACGAATGAGGGCCCCAGGAGGGCCTCGCCTGCTCCGCCGCACATCACTCACTCTCTCTCAATCACGCACACACACCGGGACCTGCCCGCCTTTGTCCCATGCAGGCTCTGCCGCGGGTTGCCATGGTAACCCAGGGGAGGTTTCGCTCTCGTGGCCTGATTGTGTGGAGCCGGGGTGGGATGCAGTGCCACGTTGAGCCGAGCCGAGCCGTGCCAGGCCAGGTAGGTTCGCTCCTTTCCACAGTTGAGCTCCAGTGCTTTTAGAGTTTGGTCATTTCTTTTGAACCTTTTTGATTCAGGGCTTCACAAGTTTCCTGTTGAATGTTTTGTACTTTACGGTTAAATGATTGTCATTTTTAATCATCTGTCAGAAATGAGTCAAAGAGTGAAGCTCCTCTTACAGCGGGGGTCTGCAACCATCACAATCAAAAGGGCCATTTCTGCCAGATCTAAA